GTTGTGCCAGAGGCTGTGCCTGCCTTGAGCCCTGCAGGAATCATTGCCAGTCCCCAGGGTCCTGTACCCAACACGCCCAGCTCGGCCACACGCCCTGGGGCCCATGCAAGGGAGTGGGGTGGCAAGGAGCCATAACCCACAGCATGTGGAGCCAGGTACTGGCCTCCCAGTTGCTTCTGGTTGCAATTCAAAGTGCTGATGACATTCCGTGAGGCTCGGGAGGGACAAGCCCACCACACTCTCCCTCTTCTCAGCTTGCAGATACAGTCAAGTATTTGCCTCACTGAATGGGACTTTCTCAGATATCTCCACACTTTTCCCCATATTCCATTATGTACAGGGACCATTTCCTGTCAAAATTTGTAAAGTCATTGTCTAATCCTTTTAAGCATGTGCATAACTATGCATGTCTCCCATACATCAGTGGGACCACTCACATAAAGTTACACATGTGCACAGGCCATTGCAGAATGGGACCCTGGATTGTAAACTCCCTGGGACAGTGACAGTCTCCTTTATCTGTCTGTATAATGCCTTGTACAATGGCAACCTGATCCTCGTCTAGATTTCCTACAAAATACTGTAATAAATCACACTATTTGTTTTGTTATTATTTCTGGCAGTGTGGTGGATCATTGTCTTGTGTGCCCATTGCATACTACATACATGTGAAAAGAAAAGGAGTACTTGTGGCACCTTAGAGACTAACCAATTTATTTGAGCATGAGCATGCTCAAATAAATTGGTTAGTCTCTAAGGTGCCACAAGTACTCCTTTTCTTTTTGCGAATACAGACTAACACGGCTGTTACTCTGATACATACATGTGCTTATTTACAACACGTTTTTGCTGAATGGTCTGCATAAAGTATAATCATTAAAGCAATAACACAGATTAATAAGACCTATCCAACCTCCTATTATCTGTCTCCCCTCACAACCAATATTCAGATCCATCTAGCCTCCCTCTAAATCACCCAGCAATTCACATCCAGTCAATCACTTTATTACCACATCCCAGAGATTCAATTTTTCTTTCACCCCTTCTGACTATTCAGATTTACCAAACTTCCCCATTCCCAGTGATTCTGTTCAAGCAAACATCTTAATAATTCTCCATCACACAGCAATTCAGATCCATGAAATTTCTCAGTAAACATCACCACCACCAAAGACACAGATCATAGCCATCATATCTCTCTATAACCTCCAATCATTTTTGTGGCTCCTGCTGCTGCTTGCGGCAACTTATCCAGCCATACTGTCTATAAAAAGTGTTATTGCTTGTATCTCTTGGAAATTTTCTTTCTTAATTACCTTCCAGGACAGGATCCTGTTCTTGGAATTTCTCACTTTCACTCTTTATCACTAAGGATATTGATCTATAAACAGGAATTTGGTTTCTTAAGAGTTTTGTTTTCTGCTGCCTTCTCCCCCACCTGCAGCCACCCGGCTGACTTTTACCCAGATAATCTGGTTTTTGGCTTCTGTGTCTGGGTGCTCTAACCTGCAGCTACAATCTCGAGAGTGGGTGATACTGTAGTGGGTGTTATATCATTCAGGTAGAATCTCACAAACTAGATCATTGCAACTTCAGAAGAATCTGAGAATCAGGGTAAGACAAACTGTCCAAGGACACATGAGTCTCCCAGAACATTCCTGTGGCTGAATAAAGCTCTCTTTGAGGTGGTGTTACCATAGAAATGGGGTGGTAACTTTTTCTCTCAGCACTGCGAGGAGCATAACGCCAAGATTAGTTCCATCAGGAACCTAGAGCTCCATGGATCTACTGGCAACTGATCTACCTTACATTCACAGATGTTAAGGCCAGGACAAACCATTATGATCATCTATTTTGAGGAGACAGTGACAAACTCACCCAGCAATTCCAGCATCAAGCCCATGACTTTTGTTTGACCTATAGCATATCTTTTAGAAAGATACCTTGTCTAGATTTAAAGACTTTAGGTGAAGGAGAATCTACCACATCCATAGGTAAGCTGTTCTAATGGTTAATTACTTTCAACCAAAATATGTACCTCATTTTCAGTCTGACTTGATTTAGCTGCAACCATTGGATCTCATTTGATCTCATTAGGCCTTTGTCCGTTAGATTACAGAATTATTATCAGAAATCTGCTCATACCTTCTCTTGGATAAACTAAATAAATAGAACTTCTTAAATCTCTCACTATCAGGCACATTTTCCAGACTTCCCTGTTTTACCCTGGTGGTGTAAAGATTGATATGGAAAGGAAAAAAAGTGATGAAAGAAATAGGATAACAGAAAGAAACAGGTCTCTAAGGTGCCACAAGTACTCCTTTTCTTTTTTAGAAAGAAACAGATTAAAGTGCAGATAAAGACAGTATAATAGAAGAGTTAATTAAAAATAGGGATTAATTTAACTAAGAAGAGAAGCAAAAGAACTTTATTATTAATTATATATTATTTATTAAGCACTGACAATGTATTTTGTGCTCTATAAAACAAAAATGTCAGCTCTGAAGAGGTGTCGTTCTATAGGACAAAAACAGAGAAGTCAACATGCATTGGGGAGCCCAGAGTAGAGGAGGCAATAAGAGGGATTTTTTTTTAATCTTAACTCATCTGTGGAGGAATTGTGTCTGAAGAGGGACATGAACACAGGAAGGAAAGTAGCTTGTCAAACTAGGCTGAGGAAGACTTTCCAAGTATGTGGATCAGTTTGGAAAAGACTCAAAGACTAGAATAAGAGTAGAAGATGAAGCAGGCATCAAGGCTAGCATCACCAGTAGAGTGGAGGAGAGGGGATGCAATCAGAGATTCTTTAAAGAAATATTTTTAAGAGAAAACTCAAAAAGCCAGTTAGTAATATGTTAAGGTAGAGAGATCCAGCATCTTGGAACTAGAGGGCAGCTCACCAGAACATGTCTCCCAATAGAAAGCAGTGGTCTAATGGGTAAATATGAAAACTTTCCATTTTCCCTAGCCACAATGGGCATTGGCATTGACTTCCATAGCCTCAAACTCGGATCCATCGAAGTGGATTGTAGCTGCAGGCAACAAAACCCAGTTCAGAATACATTCCAAAAAATGCATCCCCCACAATTTCACTATGGCCTCAGCAGGGGCTGCTGTAAATACCTGTATCACAGGCATGTCATAAGAGTTAGAGAATATGTTTGAGGACCCTCATCTCCTTATTAAATAACAATTTGTCACACGTGAACATGTCTGAGACTCATCTGGCCGTAGCCTCTCCCATTCCTAATCAGTTCTTACCTTATTTGGATTATATTGGCATATATTAGCAAAATTGATAAGATACTATTGTGATGGGAGACAGACATCCATAATCATAACAGCACCTTCCTCCTATTGTTACTGTATTACAATTATTTTTAAGCTAAGAATATTTTACAAACAATTACAAGAAAACAGTTACTTTGGTTCTCTTGTTAGGAAAGTTCAGGCATCTGCATAGTAGAAAAAGGAGAGTTCTCTACACAAACTGAGCAACCGGAGTTCTGAAGCCAGACTTTATGAGAAAAGAAACAAAGGAAAATACAAAATATGTGGGCCAGATAATTATATACATTAGATAATTGTAAAGTTTTAACAGTTCTAATGAAGGGCTCTGGTGAGTCTTGTTTTATCCCTGCTAAAGCACACTATTTATCATGGGTTTCAGAGTAACAGCCGTGTTAGTCTATATTCGCAAAAAGAAAAGGAGTACTTGTGGCACCTTAGAGACTAACCAATTTATTTGAGCATGAGCTTTCGTGAGCTACAGCTCACTTCATCGGATGCATCCGATGAAGTGAGCTGTAGCTCACGAAAGCTCATGCTCAAATAAATTGGTTAGTCTCTAAGGTGCCACAAGTACTCCTTTTCTTTTTACTATTTATCATGCACATGATACTAAATATTGACAGTCAATGGAAAGTGGCAGGCATATTCTGGCAATGTCTAATTCCAGGCCACAACCAGCATCAAGCAGTCAGTTTCCTCTACTTTCCCATCTTCAAAGCTGCAGGTCACACTCTAGTCTCACTTCCCCTACAAACTAAGAATTCTGAGATCTGACATGACAAATGGCTGTGCTACCATTACAAGTATCAAAATCTTTGCAGGCGTCACCAAATTCCATTAGAACAGTCCATAAATGAAACTGAAGTTGTGACCTTGCTAAAAGATAGAACCTCTCCCAGAAATAAGCTTCCCAAGACTGTGGTCACACTGGTGTTCAACAAAACTCTTGGAAAAGAATTTACACTTACATTAATCCGATGGAAAGAAAGAACCCTGCTGGGACACTTGAAACTTTAACAGCTTTTAAAAAAATATCATGTGCCCATGAAAGTCCTATAAATTGAAGTCCTCTGTTTATCTACAAGACATATACTCAATGGATAATGAAGAGTAATCTTCCCATCCCATGCCTCAATCCTGATTTACACAGACCACCTCTTGCGGTGAAAGGAAGTGCAATTTATGTGGCCCCATCAGTTTCTGCTAGGACAACTAACAAAGGGGCCTTGCCATAGGCAACTGTGATAATGCTAGTGTCTGTCCAGTGGGAACAAGACGGACACACCAAGTAGCTGATGCAGCCAGTTATGGCCTAACTTCTCCCTTTTGCCCACTTGGGCACCTGCAAACACCTTCATGTGCCCTTAAAAAATCTGGGACCAATGGGTTTTGTTAATACAAATTTTAGCACTTGTGTGTGCGCTGGTGTCAGAATAATGAAAAGATGTGCACAGGCATTTAGCAAGGATATTTAGCAAGTGTTTGCATCTGTAAATTGCAGACACATGTAAGTGCATATGTACTTTTGGATATGCGCAAGCAGAGGCTGGGTAGGTGCCCAACTGGAAATTTACCTTAAAAGGGTTTGAAAGAAATGTTTGAAACTGATTTATGATGGATGCTACAGGCCAATGTAATACTCACAAAGTGACAGATTTGCAATTCTTGTGTCATTTTTTGTAATATTTACAGACTTTTCAAACATGTCAGAAGATTGGAGGTGATTTTATTAGGAAACGATCCCACATTATTGTCCCTGCCTAACTATCCTCTAGACAAGGTGGGGTCTGCACACATTAGGTATTGAGAATTCAGGGCTCAAAACAACATTTACAAAGGAATCAAGAGTCTGGCAGATGTAAAATATCCCCTAAGACAGCGTGAATTTGTTACAAGTGATTCCCTTTCTTCCCTAGCTCCCATGCCTATCTTAATTTTTCTCTTTATTAACTTAAAGAAAGTGAGAGTGTATTTGCTCCCATATTTTCCTCAGGTACATCTGTAAAGGTCTCCATCCCTCGCTTTATTAGCTAAAATGAGAAAGCAAAAGCTCGCGGCGGATTCGACAGGCTTCAGAGTCCAGCGATTCCATTTGCTCGTATTCTTCCTCTGGTTGCTCCATCTGTCCTGTTGCTGGGGAAGACCACACATCTAGCCCATGTTCAAGAGAGATGTTATGGAGCACACAGCAGGCCAGAATGATGTGGCTAGACTTCTCTGGAGAATACTGCAGGGTGCCTTTGGATCCATCCAGGCAACGGAACCGGGATCGAATGGTCCTGAATGTCTGCTCAATGACACTGTGAGTGGCAGAATGTGCCATGTTATAACGGTACTCTGCGGTGGTCTCAGGGATATGCAGAGGGGTCATCAGCCATGTGCGGAGAAAAAAGGAGCTGTCACCTATCAAAGGAAAAAATGAGAGAGCTCACAAACCAGTAGCAACAGCAAAGATTTCTGCTCTTTATCCTCAACCTGGGGAGACTAAATTTGGGCACCTGTTTGTAGCCAGTTTCCTTGCATCATAGGTACAGACTGACTTCATTGACTATCAACACAGAGTATGGGAGAATCCAGGTAAGAGTGACAAGTATTTAATTAGATTTGCAAATGAGACCAACAAGGAGAAAAATCAAGATATTCCATTTCACAAGACTAAATTCTGTAAAAATGTGGGAGGGAGTTTTTGGAGAGTCCAATTAATACACATAGGCAATGAAATTCAGACATTTGGACCAGACCCAAGTGTAGAATACAAGGTTTGTGCGATTCAATCTAGAAATAAACAGGGTAATGAGGACAAGGACAAAGCAGAAGAGTGGATGTATACAACCTCACTAATCATACTGTATGAAACGCAGAGCAGGAAATCACTGCTCTTCCAGTCCTATGTGAGCCAAGAGCCTACCTTGACTCTCAGATCCCAGGATGAGTTTGCATGACTGCAGTTAGAAAAAGCATTTTCACTTGTAAACTGTCAGCTGGCTTGGAGTCAGAGAGGTGATAACAATGGAACCCCACAGGGGGCATTTTTACAAAGTTACTCTCTGAGTAGAACCACATTTGAAACCCTTTCTCACATACATTTTCCATGGAACATGGTCCTAAATCACTTTTATCTGGTATTTACATTTTGGCAGATGTGCATTTATATAGATTTTGTAAGATGTTAGAAATAATTAATGTCTTATTTGCCAGTGGGACCAAGAATGACTTGTATGAAACCTATTTGGTTGTTTGTATTAAAAAAGCAAATATGTCAGGCATTTTCACACCAGCAGTCTGTTTTGCTGCCTTTGAGTCACTCAAAAAGCAGCCAAAGTGCAACAGACTCTTAGAGGAGACAATAACTGGAATTAACTTACCAAGTAGCCAGCCATCTTTGTGCAATCCAGCTTCAAATTGGCTATTAAGAGCTGCCTGCTGCAGCACAGTGCCGTCTTGCAGGCTGCCTGGCCAGTGCGTCTCTGCACTCAGCAGTGCTCCTCTAGCATCACACACCATTAGGCAGTTTAAAGAATGAAGACCCTTTCGATTCACATAGGATAGGTCCTCGGCATTGGGTGCTTTGATTGCCACATGGGTGCAGTCAATCACCCCTAGCACTCCAGGCATCCCTGCCAGCCCATAGAAGTCATCCTTCAGACTCTGCACAGAGGCTTCATCCTCTGGAAAATGAATGAATTGTGAGGCTCTCTCCACCAGTGCTTCAGTGACATTGGCAACACAGCGGCTCATGGAGGCCTGGCTGATGCCAATGGCATCCCCCATGCGAGTCTGGAAGGAGCCAGAAGTGTAAAAACCTAATGCAGCAAGAATCTGTGTCTCTGGACTGATGGCTCTGGACCGCTGTGTAGGGCGAGAGAGGCTGGCTCCCAGCAGATCCACTAGATAGTAAATGAATTGTCGGGGGAAGCCATACATGGACACCAGGTACTCATCGGTGACATCCTCCAGCTTGAAGCGATCTAGCATTCGGTGTCCTCGGCCATAGAGCAAGAGGTCACAATCAAGAATCGCTATAGGAACAGCCATAGCGAAAGCCTGGGTGAGTTCTTGGAGCAGTTCTTGTTGCAGATCTTTTCCCAGTGCTGTCACCTGCATTGAAGTGAATTGAACGGAGACTCAGAACTCAGTTTAAGAAGTTCAGCCTTTCAGCCCTATTGCCAGCTTCATTCTGCCCAGGTTACATAACAGCAGAGTAAGAAACACACACCTCAGAGAAATTCGTAAAGATAATCTCTCTGTTTTTAAAAAATAAAAATTGTTTTTTGTTTTTTTTTTTTAATGTTGGGATCAATTTTAGTGGCAGATGAAAGATGCCCAGGAAATTGGAACAGTCAGCTCACAGTATGTGCGCAACAGCAGTGTGAGCTTCCCTACAGACCCATCAGTGTCTCAACCCTTAACAGAAGGGACTATCTGCAGGAATGAGAAGGGACTTCAATCTCCTCCGGTCTTCTGCTGCAAATGCCAAAAATGGGGCTAGAAGTGGCAGTAGTTTCTGTAAAATTCTTAGTGAAAAGTTGTTAAAATCACAACAAACTAATATCATATACATAGTACAATTTTCAGTCACTACCAGGTTAGGCCATATTCAGGCTAGCAATCTGAAACTACATAATCCACATGCAACTACCTTATTTCTGCTCTGTCACTGAACTAGTTAAGCAAGTTGGATGAGTTTGTTGCTTCTTTCTGAGCTGGTTCACTTGTGCATAACCTAAACTGGTTGTATCAGGCATGCCGTTTATGTGGACTATTAGAACAACAAAATCCAAGAGCTGCTATCACCAGAAATTTGGGAGAAATAAAGCCTGCCCTTCATATTCAAAGTCACAAGTCTCAGAGTGTGATCCTATGGGTGTGTGTGTGAGAGTTCCCTTTGATTATGCCAGATCACATTAGAAGCTACAGTGGAAACATTAAACACTAGCTAAATTCAAATAGATTTATGTATATGACACATGGGCAGCAAGATGAACTTCACTGTTGGATAGCACAAGGATTTCCAAAGAGACCAATGGCAAATGTAGTTGATATTCTATCATATATACCCAGGGCTTTAAAACATACCCACTAGCCAGAGACCAACATGAAAGTTAAAGGTCCTCTGGAAGTGCTGAGGCAGAACCTGATGAGAAACCCAGTGCACCACACACACATTCCTGTGGACTTACTGCATGCAGAAGCAGCAGAAGCAACAGGAAGAGTCCATCCTCCACTTCTGATGGAGAGGGGAAAGGAGAAAACTATCTCCTGTCCTTTGCCCCATCTTGGAACATGAATATTGCCAGACCCACTCAGACTAATAGTCCATCTAGTCTGCTATCCTATCTGGCCAGTTTCAGATGGTTTCAGAGAACTCTGTTAAGACTCCCATAATGGGAGAACTAAACACTACCATGCCCACTAAGGAAGTTTCTTCCGGGCTTTAGTCAGTTAGTGATTACTTTAATGTCCTGAAACATGAATTCATTTTTACTTTACCTGATATGTTCTCAATATGGACATGAATACACAAATTAACTGTGAAACAGCTAAGGCGCCTTCCTTTGGGTGGGAGGAGGAAGTGAGCAGATTCCACTCAGGGCTCAACTATAATAATATCCATGTTAGTGTAAAACATGACTCTGTCTTTTAGTGTAGCTGGAACCTAATTTATTTTAACCATGTCTCGAAAATATGCTACAGTTTAACTCTGTCCAAAAGCATGACACAGTTCAGTGCCATGGATAGGGTCCATTTATGTTAGAAGACAAAACTGTGGTTTTAACAGTTAGGGAACTAATGTGTTAGAACCAGGTCCCCTGATATGGATGCTGTTGTGGTGTAGTTAATCCCTCTAGCAGCTGCCTCCAGAGGCCCCTCATGTTACCAGGGGATTGGTGGATGGATAAAATACAGAGGGCCGGGGAATGAGGGGGTAGATGGGGAGGGAAGGGTGAGGTAGATGAGGAGGGCAGAGAGAGGGCCAGAGATAAGGGGGAAGATGAGGAGGGGCAGGGTAGATGAAGAGGGCGGGGGGGTAGATGGGGGGAGGGCTGGACAGAGGGCTGGGGGAGGTGGGGAGGACAGGGAGAGGGCCGGGGATGAGGAGGGCAGGGAAAGGACGATGGGATGAGGGGTGAGATGAGGAGGGCAGGGAGGGGGCCAAGGGATGAGGGGGTAGATGGGGAGGGGAGAACAGGAGGGGGGGCGGGGGAGATGGGGAGGGGAGGGGATGGGGGGGAGGGAGGGGGTGAGATGGGGAGGGGGAGAGCCAGGGGGGGAGGGCAGAGTCAGAGGGGGGGGGGGTAGATGGGGAGGGGAGAGTCGGGGGGATGGAGGGGGGGGAGGAGGGGAGATGGAGGGGAGGGGGGGGGGGGATGAGGATGGGGAGGGCAGGGAGGGGAGAGCAGGAGGGGGGCGGGGGAGATGGGGAGAGCAGGGAGGGGGATGAGGGGGTAGATGGGGAGGGGAGAGCAGGAGGGGGGCGGGGGAGATGGGGAGAGCAGGGAGGGGGATGAGGGGGTAGATGGGGAGGGGAGAACAGGAGGGGGGCGGGAGAGATGGGGAGGGCAGGGGATGAGGGCGGGGAGGGGAGAGCTAGATGGGGGGCGGGGGAGATGGGGAGGCCGGGAAATGAGGGGGCAAATGGGGAGGGGGGAGATGGGAGTCGGATGGGGGGGCGGGGGACTATTAGTGGGGGAGGGACCCTCCTCAGCTGGGCTAAGAATAGGGGGCGAACCTCCCCAAGCTCCGCCACCCTCCCCCGGCCTGGCCCGGCCCGGGATTTACTCTGTCAGGCGCGCGGAGCCAGTGCCCGGATCTTCTCCCGCGAGTCCCGCCGCCCCGCACAGCGCGGGGGCTGCCCGTTCCCAGCAGCAGATTCCCCACGAAACCGGGCTCCCCTCACTCCAGGGCCGGAGCCTCCCAGGCCGCGCCCCCCTCACCTGCCAGCACCGGCCGCAGCGCCCTGGCCCAGCCGGGAGCGGGGAGGGGCCGTCCCGACTTCGTGCGGAAAGTGCCGCGGCGGATGCGCAGGCTGCGCCCCTCCCCCGGCCGGAGCGGATGAAAACAAACAGCGGCGGCGGCGGCGAGGGGGAGCCCGGGGTCCTAGGAGAGCAGGACACCCCCCAGCCCGGGGCGCGGACACCGGGGACCCCCGGCCCGGACAGTGGGGTCCCAGGGCACTGAGATCCCCCCGACCCTTGGGCGTGTAGCGCCCCGCAGCAGGGTCCCGACTTTCCCTGGGCACGGCTGGGCCCGAGAGCCGGGGACCCCTCGCTGGGCGGGTATCGGCCCACAGGCACCAGCGCTCCCCGGGCTAAAAGGCTGAGGCCGGGAGCTGGGACCAAGAGCCCCCAGACTGAGCCCCTCCCCGAGCCGGGGACCGAGGCTGGCTCTGCTCACTGGCGGTGAGGGGGCCCTGGGCACAGGCGCTCTGCAGTGAGACCGGGACGGAGACTTCACGGGCTCGGCTGCGAGGAGACTTCTGGAGCCCTGAACCTAGAGCTGGACCCTGAAGAGAGACCTTGGGCTGGGCATCGAGACTGGGACCAAACCCTACCAGCTCTGGCCGGGAAGAGAAGACACCCCAGAAGATTCCACTGGCTAAGAACTGAGATCCGGAAACCGAGACACCACCTAGCCCCCTGGCCCAACAAGAAGACTAGTGAGGATCCCTGAGGTCTAGATGGGTTTGGTCATGCAGAGAGACTAGGGTCAGCCAGCCTCGGTCCCCCGGCATGAGACCCAGAGCAATCACCTCTGCCTCCTCCCTGCAGGTACGGTGCAAATGGAGGAAAGTACAAATGGTAGACCCTGTGGCCCACACTCCCACTGCACCCAGTCTGTGTGGCATTTCTGACTGGAGTGTCTGTCCTGAGCTTGGCATTCCATGTACTGCAGCTGATGGGAGGGATCATGGTGTGGGACCTCAGACTAACTCTTGGATGGGGATGGAGGGAGAACAAGGTCTCCTTCAGCTCATGAAGATTTTGATTCAGAATTTTCTTTATTTTTATTATTCTTTATTATTAGTGTTACAAGTGAATCTTCATGTGTTTAAAATAATTTTACAGATGAATCTTTATGTACTTACAATTTAAAGTGATGAAAAGACTTCAGAGCATAAAGACTTTAGCATAAAGCCCAACTGATTTAAATCAATAGTCTAGCCTTCAGACAGCACCACTATAGTTGCAGTATGGGATAGCACTTCCGTTCTTAAATCTCTTTTCAGTTGCTTATTAATATTCTTAAAATGTGTGTTGTTTGGGGTGAAATTTATGCTTGGTCACTCCAGAAGTGACGTTTTTGGAAAGTTTGTTAACTCAGTGGCAGCTGAACAGATTTATCTGGTGGAGAAACTGTCAGATGCTTTTTGTTTACTAGAATGATTAACTTGCCAGAGCCTGAATGTTGACACTGCAATCAAAGAGCCCCTTAGCAGTGTGATCCTGAGTCAGGTGATATGGGCGAGCTAAGGAAGTTTAATTCAGTGTAGACATATGCTCAGAGGTCTGGGAGACCCAGTTTTTGGGCCAGGTTTATATAACTAAGAGTTCAGGGCTTTTATGTGGGATGAGAGCTGTTCAGGGCTCCCTTTCTGCAGCGATAACCCTTCTTGCCTCTTCTGTATCCCTTTAAGATGTCAGCTAGTCACATAGTATAACAAACTTGAATAGTGGTATTGCAAGTGTAAATGCTGGAGAGCCGAACTGAGTTCCAGTTGTAGGGCAGTGCTGGCTAAGAGTGCAAGAGTTTGTAAAGAGGCCTACTTATCTTTTATTTCTTACCCATTTAGCTATAGTAATTCTCATTATACACCAGGCTTTAAAACTCCTTTTCTGTCTACTTTCTTTACGTGAGCCTCAACCATAAATGAGGCTTTATTCTGCAAAATGTGACCCATGCAGTTCAACAGTGCTGCCTGTGGTCACCCCTTCTACATTAACATGCAGCCACCTTACACACAGACTACAGGTATCAGCATTCAACCAGGCTGCTCAAATCAAAATCTAGTGTAGTATGCTGGGACTTACTGTATAGTTTCTGTGGGAAGGCTGCTGCAATCTGTTCCATTACAAACATTGGGTGCAGCAATCAGGCTCTTGTCAGGTTGCCAACATAGCCCTTGGTCGAACAGAGTTTAGGCAACTCTGACATATAGATGAAAAAATGTTTAGTGGGTAGGTCCTAATATTGTTTTAACTCTACCCATCTCGTTAGTGCCCTCATAAGAAAGGGCACAGCTTTAGCTAGAGAAGCAGGGCGTGGAGCTTGTCCTTTGAACACCTGCTTTTGGCATCCATTGTTTGGAGGCAAGGAGAAAAAGACTTGAATTACCACAACTGCATGAACATAGATATTGCAAGGAGGGGCAGACAAGCTATTCACAGATAAAAGCATCTGATATAAACACTAGTTATATAATTGCTGCACATGTTGGGTTAAAAGACATTAAGGGCAGGTCTACGCTTAACATGCTGCATTGGTGCAGCTGGACTGATCCAGCGCTTAAGTGAAGACACTCCTACGCCGACGGCAGAGCTTCTCATGGAGGTGGATTAACTACATTGACAGGAGAAGTTCTGCCCCCGACATTTCGCTGTCTACACTGGGGGTTAGGTCGTTACAACTACATTGCTCAGGGGGTGTCTATTTGTCACACCCCTGAGCAAGGTAGTTACACTGATATAAGTCTATAGTGTAGTCCTGGCCTAAGTTACTTGATTGGCAGGGGACTACCTGGCTTTTAGGATTTGTAATTGAATTGGAACCTTTCACTTGTAGGTCTCAGGTTCAAGTGTGGCTCAGATTAGTAGTGACCAAAAGGTACTACTATCTGTTGGCTGTTCAGTGGCCTGAGTGAAATTAATTGGTGGTCTCACTCCTAGCACAATAGCTAACCGTATTGCAAAACCTATCATAATAGGCACTTAACTGTGAGGCCTTGTGGGCATTTGAAATAAAGGGGTCAAAACTGAAAGGGCATGGTGGAGCCAACCTTCCTTTCCACTTTTAGAGGGGTTCCCTTCAGGTCCGGTTAGGCACTTTGATGGTAGCCAGTGTGAGGAAGCAAGGTAAATTCTGTGACTAGACAGATGACTTCTGTCTCTAGAGCTTTCTCTCTGGCTCTTTTTACCAGCAGGGAAACTCATTTTAGAAATGGAACAGAGTTACTCATCTTTGTATAACAAAGCCTCAGCAGGCATGAGCTAATGGTCAGGTGTTACCATACACATGTGGAGACATGATAATCATCAAATGACATGCTTTAGACTTGCCAGGACCCAAGTTCTGGGATCAGTGTTTCCCCTGAAGTTAGTCCCCTAACATGGAGCATTGTCCTGTGCTCCTTGCTCCACTTTTGGTGCTGGTGACATCAACTGTTGCCAAGAGAACAGGATCCTGCACTCGGTACTTGGCAAGTAAGTAAAGGAGGAATGGCTTTTCAAGTGTTTTGTGAGTGACACGCACACATTGTGAATAACTTGGAATCTTAATTAGGATTCTTTCTGTGAGGTTTACTGCTTATTATTAAGGTAGATGAAAAGGGGCATCTGCTGGAGCAAGAGGCTATCGTAAATTTGATAGTATCCTTTTTGAAACTAATAACTGCAAAATAGTAAAAACAAGGAAGTGCTTTATTTACATGGTGTTGTGAAGGCATATGGCAGTTTTATTACTAGAGCCCCTTAAAATAATCCCTCAGGCAGGATGAACTAAAAAGTAAGAAGTCAAGGGAGCTGAATTAGATTAGATGTGGGGAGCTAGATAGACATAAATTATTGTTGTGTGGAACAGAATGAAAATGTGTGAAATCTACAACAGACCATTTCAGAAAATGTGAAATTGGATGGGAGCTAATTAAATTTAGCTAACTATCAGTGCCGGTGGGGTGGGGGGCAGTTTAATTAATGCTGAAATATCTCTCTATTTAAACCTAGTAATTCAAAGTATTTGCTGTGGGGCATAATCTAAGTGCCAGTTGCACAAATGAGTTTGTTTTAAAGACGTTTGACATTGGAAAAATAAAGTGAAGAGTTTGCAGCAAAGTTTAGAGAACAGTTGGACTTTATATCTGAAAATCTGAATATTTTAAGAGGCTCCAATTCAACCAGCTCTGAGCCATGAATCCCTGGCCCTGTAGGTCAGTGGAGCTGCTGATTCACTGCTAAGAAAAATTCAGAGACCTGCTTTCCTCTTTCAGTTAATAGAGTACTGAAAAGAATTTGAGTGACCAAATATGATCACACATTCATGGATACCATGCTTGCATACCGTATAGATGCTGTGTTGCTGGGACTTACGGCTTTGTTTACAGAAAGTTTTTTACCAGCTACATAGTTCTAGTTATACTGGCATAAATCCTGTGTGGACATTTATTCCAGTATAAGGGTGGGGTTCCCCCCCCCAGTTTATCTTAAAACACTTCCTAAGCTAAACCAAAAAGACTCTCTTCTACTGGAATAAGAGTGTCTACACAAGCAGAATAATCATATCTGTTTAGGTTCTTTCTCAGCGTAGGCATGGCCTGACTCTATATACTGTAATGGCTAGATTTTAGGGATGATCACACAGTGTTACTCTTGTTGGCAGGTGGGCTTAGCAGGTTCCATATATAACTGTCAGTTCTGTCCTTTCACAGGTAACAATGACACTACACCTCAACCCAAACTGGGCAAAGGAATTGGCCTCTACTTTGCTCTTAACCGTCCTCAGAAGATGATATTTGAGACTGAGTCTCGGGTTAAAAAAACAACAGAATAAATAGATTAACATTCAATTTTCAAACACCCATGTAATATAGAGGGGCTGGTAGTGATTCCTGTGTTAGGTTACCCAGCACTTTCTATTACAAAGGATTATTGGGACCTTTTTCTAGAAGCTCATTGTTTCCAGTAGATCTTTGATATTTGGCTACACAAGTGCCTTTATCCCACAGTATGCATCCGATGAAGTGAGCTGTAGCTCACGAAAGCTCATGCTCAAATAAATTGGTTAGTCTCTAAGGTGCCACAAGTACTCCTTTTCTTTTTATCCCATGAGAGTCTATTCAGATTTGGCTGAGCTATAAAGTATTAAAAATTGCCACTTCCTTTCTCTCTCTTGTGTTCTTTAGGAACATTTTGCATATTAAAAATCATAACATGTTCTGAGGCCAGGGTCACACTGCTGTTGTAGCAATAGCGTACACTGCAGTGATACACCCGTTCTAGTGTCAGAAGGTTCCCTCCCTCCCCAGCAGGGGTTCTTTATTATGAGAGCTATCAAACAGGGGTACTTCCCAACTCAAAAGTATTTCACAAGAGCCCCTCATTTCACTCTGCCTTCAAGACCAATCTGTCTACTTTCTCTTTGGTTATTTATAACATGCTTCTCATCTTAATAATCTGAGTGTCACCATCCTTCTTGCTGAGCAAAGACTTCCTACACAAAGCCAATTTACACTGCTCTTTAATTGGCCAGAGAGGTCACTCTTGAGTTATGCTGAGCATTTCTGTTCCCTCCTCCAGGGCCTTTTTGTGGTGTTTCTGAAGCACTCCCAGTTCCTACCAGAACAAGAGAGTTGTGCAAATGAGGACAGGGCTTTGGTAATCATTGATTCCTGTATCAATCTCACGTCTAGGGGCCAGAAAGGATTTGGCTCAGATGCCAGGTTTCCTTTCACATCCTCTCTTGCACTACAGGGACTGGGTTCCAAGCCCAGCCTGACTGGGTCAGGGGAATGGAGTCTAGTTCTTCTAGTAGTGGAGTTAGTGACTTTTGACAAGATAGATCACTTCTCTCAAGTTAATGCGAACTGATTTACACCAATTGTTTTCATATTAGCTCATTGAGTATTATAAGAACAGTGCCAGTCTCGAGGGGCAATATGAATACAAATCTGACCTTCCTTTTCCTCTCTGATCATTCAGTAGACATTCAGTAGATCATTCTCTTCCCTCTACACTGCAGATTAAGTCTGTAGCTGTACTGCGGTAGGCATACCCATGCTAGCTTTAATCTAGTTCACTCAGGTAACAGTGAAGATGTGGCATGGGCTTCAGTGTGGGCTAGTGCCCGAGTACAAGACCGCTGGGGACCCTGGATACATACTCAAGTTGCTAGCCCACACTGAGGTGCATGCCACAATGTCTTCAATGCTAATATTGCCTGTTCTAGCTAGTTTTAAGCTTGACAGGTATGCCTACCCACACTACAACTACACCTTAAATTGCAAGGTAGGCTTCTATTAAGTCAGTGCTGATCTGCTACCCCAACATGGGACAGTGTAGTACTGTACTGCTGAAGTGGCCTCTTTTCAATTGGTGTTTGCAGAGCACTAACTAAAATACATGCTTACTATCATTATTCAGTTGAGATGTAAGATGAAGGTTCTGGCCACTTTGGGTCATTAAGATCATACAGCACTTCCTGTGTGAGCAGGATGGTTATCCTCTGTGCCCTAATCAAACTGTAATTTGTGTTATGACATTCTTTCCCCCCAGGTAGTTTCAATCAGATAATATTCTTCTGGTGCTACATTTTTGTGCAGTGTTGCTGTGTGCTCTGAAACTGCTCATGCCTCCCACCTCAGCAGTGGCTGCATTTCAGTGATTACCAAGGTGGTCCATAAATATTATTTGTATGATAAGCTCTTTCTGGATAAGAGGAGCTTCAGAAATGCAAAGATATTTTACAGCAGTCGTACTTTGCACTTTTTCAGAGTTCTAAGCCCAAAGCAGTTTTTAAACCTCTTCCACTCTGGTGTGGCATTTGTACAGCCCATCACACAAGGAAACTTGGGATTTGTGGGGTTCTCACCTCTACTTGGTAAAATATATCCTACAGTTAGTTGTAGCTAAACCTGCAATCTAGAGAACATTACTAATAAAGCGATGGAAGCCATGATCAGGGTCAGCCTATGCAAGGGGCTAGTAGTGTAGCCAGACTCCATTTTCTCCAGAGGCAGAGCTACTATTACCTATTATGTATGACTTCAGTATCCGCTAATAATGGAGCGGACACATTTGCGGCTCCAGGATCCTAGTACCAACAGGCCTGGTTTGTTATCTCAGTGCTATGAATTTCAACAGCTTAAGTGGCCTGTGATCTGAAATCTAGACTATCACAATTGATCACCTTCTATATAGGACCAGGAATACTTTCTTCAATAATCTGACTGAAAAATCAAAAAGGGCTTGTAACTGTTCTAGTTTTAACCCTCCTTTGCATTCCTTTTCTTCCTAGTCCTCTTTGTATTGACCCCATCTGTTAGTCACATGATTTTAACCCCCCCCCCAACAAGTCCTGTATGTCAGACCTCTGGCAGGCAGTGGCCTTTGATGCTTATGAGTTCTTATGGTGGTTTCTAATAGCCTGTGAAGGTGAATACTTATTGCCAATGCAGCTTGGTGGTTGGGTGGGGGTGTGGCAGGTTGAGTTCTTCCCAGGTATTCTTCTTTTTCCACTGCTGCTCCACCCAGTGATGGTCTAGCCTTTCAGAGGCTCAGCCCTCTGGCCGGGTCAGTCTTTCAAGTCTACCCCTTTCAGAGTGTATACATAAAGAGCCTAGTAACAGGGAGGCTTTCAGAATCAAGTGAGGGATTCAGACCTTCCTCCTTGAGTCAGGGTCTCATAGAAGGGTCTGGACTATCTTCAGGATCTTCTCCCAGCTAGGTTCCCCATCAAAGGATAGACTTCTGCAATTGTCCCTCTCTAGGGCTTTGTAGGGGAGCCCACCCCCAGCACCAGCTTCCAATCCAAGGCCCAAGGGTGGGCAGCTAAGTGCTGCACCCTGAGGTGCAATACAACTGCTTCCCTGGGTCACTTCATACCTCCCCTCTCTTCCCACAGAGTAAAGATAAAATTTCAGACCTTCAGAATCTCCCATCCCCTCTTTGCAGGCTTGGTCAGGCCACCATAGCTAGGTTTCAGGCAGCAAGAACACCTGTGGTGCTGCTTCCCAAGACCACAGAATGTGGATCAGCTCACTTCTACTATCTGCTTGACAGTGAGCTACTCTACTTCACTTTTTAAGCTCCTCCTCCTGCTTGGGCAAACTTTGCAAGAGCAGTGGGGTGGGGCCACCTGGGCCCCCAGCAGCTCCATAACCCCTTCCTCTCCAGTGTGGGGTTTATGTACCCCATCATGTGGCCCAAAGTTTTGAAGCAGCTGCTCCAAATCCCAAGACCAAAGTAGAAGGGTGTGTGAAAGTTTTATTTCCATGTTTGTTATGTGTTTCAGATTTTCATGTGCAATGGACACCGATCTCAACTCCCAGGACAGGAAGGACCTGGACAAGTTCATCAAATTTTTTGCTCTGAAGGTAATTTCCGTGTCTTGGTACTGGGACACTGGTAGGAATCCTCTCCTCTGAATTCACCTTCATTTATATTGAAGTTAAACCAAAACTCCCCATGGATAGAATTATAGGCTTGTATATCTGTTAATAACCAAACTGAGAAGAACTGAAGGTAAATGTAGATAGAAGATTTCTGTTTTACACATTTATTTTCCAGAAAAGGGCTGTTTTTCAGAAAATTGCCCTGCTGTAAAGCCTAATTGTGGGTCCCGAATACCCTTGTTAGCTCTGTGCCACTTGCCCCTGTGAAATTGACTAGGTGTGACTTCATCAAGCAGCCTGGACAAGTTTAAGTCTCCGTTCACTTAAGTAGTATTTCCTGCCGAGTCCTGATCTTCTTTCTGTCCATCTAGGTTCTTATATAGTACTTAAAATTATAATAGCTAAATACTTTTTGTTACACGTTCACAGATAACTAAAAAGTGAAACCCCTAATTCTAAGCAGTTCCCTGTCCTGATTAGGTAGGTAGGTACTGCAGTGATGGATGAGCTATAAGTGCATCAACTGATAGACCCAGGTTACCTCTTTATGTATCTCCAGCTCCAGGATGAAGTTCCATAGTTTTTGGTAGAATTGATTCAAATGCTGTGACCACTGATTATGAAATGGCTTCAGTGATTCCTTATTATTGTTACAGGGACATGGTCAACTTAAAAGCACGCTTCTGTCCAAAACATGTTTACCTGCTGCTATTACAAGTAACACCTTAGGTGACTATAGTGGAAGGAGATTAGCAAACCCCACTGATCCTGAATTCTAAACTCTGCCTAATCCTTTCCCAAAAGTGAGATCATTTAACTGGTGTCCAGCTGCCCTGGATTGGCCTGCAATGTAGGCTGAGGGTCCTAGAGTGCTCTAGAAATCAGTGAGCATTTTTGGCTTTCTCTTTCAGACTGTACAAGTGATTGTCCAGGCCCGACTTGGAGAGAAAATCTGTACTCGATCATCATCCTCCCCAACAGGCTCTGACTGGGTAAAGTCATGTTACTTATAACAATCCCATATCTCTCTCTCATCTACTTTATCATGCTGATAATATGGGGAACACTTTCAAGTAGTATATAAAAACAATACTGTACAATGTGTTGATTTTACATCTCAGCATGTACAGTACTACCCTGACCTCTTCCCAGGCTCAGGAGAGGTTTGTCATTCTCACCAGTCACTTCTGCCAGATGACCAAGACTCGTATCTAAGTTCTGAAGGAGGGTCTTTACCTCTTCATTCAGAGGTTTGAGGCCCTCATAAGAGGTGAGGTTTATAAGGGTAATGGGGGGCTTCTGGATTCTCCATGGGTGCATACAAGAACTAAGTGAGGACAGAGGGGTGTGTTTTGCCTTAGTACCCAATGTACAAGAATCTAATAAGAGCCAAAACAATGTTTATTAGTAAATATGAAAAATTTAAGCCAATCTGGGATTTGCCTGTGTTGGACTGTGATTTACTTACTCAGCAGGTAGGTCTTACAAATCCTTATGAAGGCGAAACTCTCAGCAAGTGGTGATCAGTTTCTTTGCCGCCAACATACCCCACCATGAAGCCACAGAATCCTTCCTAAGGCTTCATCGGAGCATGTATTTCATATACCTCTCTTCTCTTTCCCAGCTGTCTAACCAAGCTCCTAACCGTCTAAATCAATGCAATTAACTTCACTGCTAGTATGGCTTGAACAATTACAAACTCCATTGATGTCATGCATATCCATGGATGTTCCCTGCTATTGTATGCTAATTCCCACCATGGAGCATAACCCAGTGTATCTGTATCGCTCTGAATATTTTGACTGTCCTGTCTGAAGGTCAACAAATGTTCTGGGTGTCTCCTCATTAAGGCCTGCACATTTAAATGCAGTGATGATCTGACTCTGTCTAGCTGTACCACAGTTTAGGGTAGCATCAGTCAGAGGGGCATCAGCTGGTATATTGTGGATCTCATGCTGGGGAACTGGAAAAATTATCTTTTCCCCTATGTGGGCAGCTTTTTTTGGAACTAAGCAAAACATTGGCAGTCATAACATGTTTGTGTCCCACATTGGAAGTGTCCGACCCATGTGGCTACCTTCTCCAGCCTTTGCAACCTTGGCTTGATCTTGTCCCCATTGCCTCAACTGTACTGTACAATTTCAGGTTTCTTCATCCAAGGTGAACCCACATGCCAGCAATGTAGTACATCACAATGACATAACCAAGTGCCAGGCCTCTTGGAACAACATGAGGTATCTGTGAATTTCCAGTCTCCCACACACATCCTTACCAATATCTGAGGATGTGACATTCCTTTAAGATGTAACCTGCCATGGTTGGTTCCAACGTACCTATGGACTAGACGCTAGACACTCTCAATACCTCGCTTAATCCTGTGGCCGCTGGTACTGCTAGTACCATAGGAAAGAGCCACGTTTCATCAAGCTTGCATCTTTTCTCAGCATAATAGATCCTTGAGTAGCATCTAACCGTGCACCAATATACTTTTTACTTTGGCCATTGTTCCAGCATCTTATTTTTATGAACTAGCATCTCCCACCCCCACTGAATTTCCTTTAGTCCTTCCTGTAGCTCCTGTATTAGGAAGCTGCTATACCATGAACCTTTGATACATTAAGATAGTTCATAATTTTTCCATTTCATTGATTGCTGCTTCCACTTCCCTAAACGCCTGTCCTGTTGTTCTAGCATCCTAAACATCCTTTAAATCCTCCCCATATCCTCATTCTGTTCTTTTCACTTTAAAAGGTTTTGTAATTCAACTCTCACTTTCTGATTTTCTTCCCACAATACTGTGATATCCGTATGATTCCATGCTGATATTCCCAGTGCCCCAACTCCTATTACTGTTTCTATATCTCTCTCTCCCCCTGACTCTTTCACATCTCAGGCTACCAAATTTCCTCCAGTTCCACCCCATCCATTGACTGTTTGAAATTTTGCCTTGCTTTTGCTATCAGTCACATATAGAAGTGCGCATATTTAGCATGACAGAGCTCCTGTGGTAAAGTAAAATTGGTTAAATTCAATACTGCAGGTATCATTTGGTACTATACATTACTATACTAATCCATTGTCAGGTTCTGCTTCTGTGGATGGATCTTCATCTTGCTTCAATTTTAGAGTAGGAGGCATTGTTACTCCAGTATGTTCAGGAGTGGTAGTGGTACTTTGGTCATTCTTAATCCCATTTGGGGAGAAGGTCTGGCATGTTAGATAGGCTCCTGGGCGGTAGTTCAATGAGCTGCAAAATTAACTCTAATATTTCCTGTATGTGTTAACTGCATGCCATGAATTTTTTAGATTAGCTGTTACCATCCCATTTAAACACACTGTCCCTACCTGGGTCACGTCCGAATCCCTGCTCCTGAGAGTTGTTTGTGCTGCAGGATCCTCCACCTTGGCTGTTCTGCAGTCTGTATCAGAACATTGGCTTTCCTGCATGATTACCCAGGAACCATAAGGCTAGGGTGGCATTCTCCCCCTCGTGCACCGTCACCATCTTGTTCTGCTGTATCACAAATTCAGTGGACCGCAATGCAATGCAGATTATGCCTCCCATGGTGACCAACCTAGCCTTGTCCGTTACATAGTAGCGATCCTCCCAGCTGGCTTTTGGAAATGGCTTTTTATCCGAGACATATTGCAGAAGTACCTGGTCTCCCACTTCGTACTCCTTGCCAGAAGTTTGGCCATAAAAATAACTTCATTTTTCACTGGGCTTCCCCCTAAATGAAGCAGCTCACATTTTATTTTTATATTTCAGTTTTTAATACATTTTTCACAGGTGAGACTTTTTTTGGCCTGGCCTCTGTTAACTGCTGTATTTTAGCAACATTCTGTTTTACTGTTGGTTTGATTTCTTTATTCTTTTCTGAGTCTCAGCCAACTTGCTTTTCCTTAAATCACTCCACTTCAGTTTTTCATTGTGAAATAGGACATTTCCCAAGGCTAAATTCTGGGATTGTAAACTTTTTACCTTTTTGCCCAGAGTGAAATGTTTTCAGCCAATGTATTCTGCAGCTTTAGGTTTCTCTCTGCCTTTTGTACTCCTTTTTTAGTTTAGCACATTTTGTAGCTGTGCCTGCAGTTTCCTGAGAATCATGGGCCACAAAAGTGTGAGCTACGCTGACATCTGTGGGTTTAGTAAGACAGAAAGTGGTTTCTTGTCCTGTTGCCCCAGTCATGGTAATACACTATTGCATTCCATGCCCCACCTGAATTCTAGATGTTAAAGAGACTGAGACAAAGTTCCTCCTCCTGCCTTGGTGGGTCCTGTGCTTATTGGCAGATTTTCTCGCCTCGGAGGTTCACGGCAGCCCTCAGTTTGGCCACTTTTGTGGCTCAAATCTGCCGTTCACTCAGTTAGCCTCATCACTGGCCAGAAAGGAAGAACAAGAATCCCCTCAGTCTCTGCTGATCCACCTAGTGGTTCAGGGAACAGGTCAGAGACCTTCCCCTCTGGTGGAACCCACAGTCCAGTTCAACTCCTCCGGTATTGAGTTGGAGGGATGGAGGGAACCTGGGCCTGCCCTCTACTCCGGGTTCTAGCCCAGGGCCCTGTGGATTGCAGCTGTCTACAGTGGCTCTTGTAACAGCTGCGTGACAGCTCCAACTCACTGGCTACTTCCCCATGGCCTCCTCGCAACACCTTCTTTAGTCTCACCACAGGACCTTCCTCCAGATGTCTGATAATGCTTGTACTTCTCAGTCTTCCAGTAGTATGCCTTCTCACTCTCAGCTTCTTGTTCCTCTTGCTCCCAGCTCCTCGCACGCACACCACAAACTGAAGTGAGTTCCTTTTTAAAACCCAGGTGCCCTGATTAGCCTGCCCTAATTGATTCTAGCAGCTTCTTGATTGGCTGCAGGTGTTCTAATCAGCCTGTCTGCCTTAATTGTTTCCAGAAAGTTCCTGATTGTTCTGGAACCTTCCCTGTTACCTTACCCAGGGAAAAAGGACCTACTTAACCTGGGGCTAATATATCTGCCTTCTATCACTTTCCTGTAGCCATCTGGCCCAACCCTGTCACAAGACGGATTCTCCACTATCAAGCAAAGCATGTTTATGGATGTCTCCTATAACTGATAATACGTTGTGGCATTCCCACTCATCCAAGGTGAAGTGGGTAAGGATCCTGCATGAGTGGGAGGAGGCTCAGTATCCCTACTGAGGGACGGACGAAGCAGTTCCAGCCAGCAGACTGCTCCCTGTTCCCTAGGACACCTCTTGGAGCCTCCACACCACCTCCTCCAGTTCCTCATTGCACCTCTCTTCCTCATAAAAGGGGATCCATGGGTGCTCACAACCACCTCCTTTCTCTCTGCCACACACTCTACCATACCCAGGGGTTTCTGTACTACCCTTGGAATTGCATTCCTGGCCACTTTCAATCCTGTATGCTTCAGCCTCATCCACAGGGTCTTTGTGCTTTTCACCATGTCCTGGGGGGTAAAAATATTTTGCTTTTTCAACCTGAACATTAGTTCAGCCCCTCTCAAATACCATTTTAACTGCCTCTCTAACCTCTGGAAGTGGCCCATCGATAACAAGTTGTGGGTAGTCTGAATCATCACAAAATGGATTATTCATGACCAGAGAACAAGCAAAAAAAAGTCGCTCTTCGTGTTTGGCAGGGGGCTCCTTAGGTTTCTGCTTAACAGCAACAATGGTGGTGATTGCTGCATCAGACCAGAATAAAACTCGGATAAGCTCTGCACACAGCAACTGCCACTATATCCAGCCTCTCTAGCCCTGTGGAATACGTAGCCAAACCCCAGAGCCAACTCCCTTTTGTAAAATCCTCTCCTATCCCTCTAGTCAGATCACAAAATTCAACCTGCTCTCTAGTTTTCAGAAGCCACTTCAACACTTCCTCCGTGCTTCTGGAGCAAGGGGCTATCTCCTCTGGTAAAAGGTTTTTAACCTTCACCTCTAAACAGGTACCACCCTGATTGTTTTGGACTGTGGACATGATTATAGGCTCCACTGGAACAGGCACCATAAGAGCAGCTTTAGAGTCCAGATTGCTCAAGGAAGGAAAAAGTGGATTATGAGGAGGTGGAGCCTCCTTAGACAATACAACACTGTGCTCATTAATGCTTCCTTCTTCCAAAAGTTTCACTGTCTGATTAAAAGCCCCTGTCAGTTCTGTATTCTCCAATTGCACTGCTTCTAGCTGTGGTTGCAGAACATCATTCTGCTCCTTAAGAGACTCACATTCTTGAGCGTTCTCAGTCAAAGTTCGTAGCTCAGTGACCTTGTCTATCAGTTCTTGTGTCTCACCCTTCTGCATTTCTTTAACTTGAGTTTTTATTTTCTGAATTCCAGTTTCAGTGCTCCATTTTGTTTCACAAAAGCTCTAGTGGTCGCTATCTCACCCTGAACTGTGTCTTTTACCCTTTTCTCAGCAACCTTTTTGTTGCTGAAAAAGTTGCTTTCAAGCACATTAGCCCCCACTTCAAGCAGATTCTGTCTTGTGAGGATGTCCATCTCCTTAAGGGGACCCCCACCATGTCTTGTCTACATATCTCTCCAGCGACTCCGCTGTCCCTTAAAAATGCCTTAAACCCCTCAATAGCCTTAGGTCGCAGTCCCTGGGATATTGGCTGTTAGCCCAATTTACAAACTGCGTAGCTCACCAGAACGTTGGAATGAGATTCACTTTCTCAGCAGATGGGTATAACAAATCTTTATTAAGGCAAAACACTCAGCACATGGTGGTCAGTTACTTACAAGTGGGAAGCTCATCAGGACAATTTCATCAGTCACCTCCAGCACTGGAGAATACAACTTCAACCTTCCTGTATTACACAAACTTATGTATAACTTTTTGTTATCTTTTCTTATACATACATCATAGTCTTTCATTTCCACGTTAACTCTCCTCCCCTGTCAGTACAGGTTTAGTGTTAGTTCAAATGAGTCTTTTCTAGCTTTTTAGTTTTCTCACAGACATGATTACTCTGCAATTTCTTACACATGCACAGTTCTACTTATGCTTACGCTGTTAAATTTTATCAGACCAGACTCTTAAAATTCACAGAAGGCTTCTGTCAGGCTTAAATATGTATTCACCCTCAATAGTCTGTTCTGTAACTGTTAGAGTGGGCACCTCTTTAATCTGTTTTGTAGCAGGTTGCTCTAACTTGAGTCTGTCTGCAGTGTGCACTGGACAGGTTTTCCAAAGGAATCTGAAAAATAAAGTAAGTTCTTTCATTTTGCAGTTCAACTTGGCAATCAAAGATATACCAGAGGTAACTCATGAAGCAAAGAAAGCCCTGGCAGGACAGCTACCTGCTGTTGGACGGTCAATGTGTGTAGAGATCTCTCTCAAAACCTCTGAGGTAAGAACCCAGTCAAGATACATCACCATTTGCTGACTTGCCCCTTAAATTACCTGCCTAAGCTCTTATTCTCTTGCCCAAGGCCATGTAAAAATCTCTCTAGACCTGCAGTGTGCTAGTATGCCACTGAAAATGAACATATTTTACAACTAAAGGGAAATCTCACTGCAAATTGGTGAGGCCAAACGCTTAGTGGGAGAGCTGCAAAATCAGCTTATTAGCTCACCTTGGGAGCTAAGCCATTCTGATGTAAGCATGTCCTGAGTACAGCCTCCATCCTACTTTTTATGGGGCTCCCTTGTCCCACAGTAAGATATCTTTGGGTCCTGTCCTTGTTAGCACATGCATATAATGAGGAAATAATGACCATCTGTTTACAAAGAATCAAGAGTCAGGAAAAATACATTCCCTTAGAACAATGGTTCTAAACCTATTTACCATTGTGGGTCACATCCAATACTACTTGTATGGCCCTGAGGATGTTACATGGGCCGCAGCTCTGTGCTGATTGGGCCACAGGCTGAGAACCACTGCCTTAGAGCTACATTGCTGTAACTGATTCTTAATGAAATGTGAAAGAGCTTGTTTGTTTTAAATGAGCTATGTTCCTGATCCTTTCTCTGATGCAGGGAGATTCCATGGAGCTGGAAATCTGGTGTCTAGAAATGAATGAAAAGTAAGTGTGTGTTCCTCAATTTTTGTTTTGTTTTTTTTTTTAATCAAATGAGCAAGTTTTTCCTGGCTGACTGAACGATTGAGCACACAGGGGACCTCACCTGAAACTGGAAAAGCTATGGGGAAGAGCTTAACAGCATTCCAAGATGTTGCCAAGGGCAGATCAGAAGGTGTTCCAGAGAGGTTCATATGAGGGGCCTTTAACCAGCAATTGGAGCTGTCATGCTCTGCTTCAATGTCCTGTGCTGTCTGGCATGCACCCTGACATGTACATCACAATGAGCAGCAGCCTAGTGGGAATGGAGAGACCATGGAGAAGGAGAAAAAAGACAAAATATTCTCTTTTCAAGTGCAGCGAGAGTTGTAATAAGCCCTTCAGGATCCCAGTATTATGTACCCGACACTGATTCTCAAGATCTGTGTGTAAAGGAATTTGGAGGCAAAGTTGGCATTAAGTCCTGCTTTTGTACTTTCCATCAGTTAAGTTAAAGGGAAACACTGTCATCTGCTTTTTCATAGCTCTTGCTTTTTGTATTCTTTGTTTCTCCCACCCTCTCCAAAACTGAGAAGTAACAAGGGAATGTAAGATTTGCCATATTAGATCATTGGTCTTTCAAGTCAGACATACCACTCGTGATGTTTCAGAGACAAGCCCCTCCCCCATGCACAATGCCCCTCTCCTGCTGCTTACTGTTCGTCAGAGAAGAGGATTAGAAATTAATTCTTTCTTGGTCCCTTGTGGCAATCAGTGTGTGCTGTCAAGCAGGAAATTCAATTACCCAGGAACTACAAATGTTAATTATGCTAAAGTTACCCCTCTCTAGTACAAGGCCCTATACCTTCTGCAGCAGTGAGTTCTACAGAATCACTATTTACTGTTTGTCCTGGACTGGAATAGGAGTCTTGGCCTGCTAGCCCAGATACAGATTACCATCCTGATGCTTTATTTCAGGTCTGTCTTTCACTCTTAAGCAAGTATTAGATTACTGGCCCAACTCCCTTTTGGTGTAAATTTGCATTGCTTGGCTGGAAACATTGGTCTAACTGCTTCTATGTGCTCTCTAGGTGTGACAAAGAAATCAAAGTTTCGTACACTGTGTACAATAGGCTGTCTCTGCTGCTGAAGTCCTTGCTTGCTATAACCAGGGTGACTCCAGCCTACAGACTTTCCAGGAAACAGGGCCATGAATACGTAATACTGTACAGGTAATGTAGACTGATATTCTGTGTCTGAACTGAAACAGTAGGAGACTTTTAGGCACACACAATCCAGCTACTCAATTGGAATTTGGCTAGAAAAACCAAAGCCAATATCTGAAACTTATGCAAAAATTGCCAAAAGATAGATAGATAGATAGATAGATCCCTAATGATCAGGACTTCAGTGTTATATCTGATTTGTAGCACAGCGCCTCCAGCTGCAGCTCGCCAACCCACCCTGGGATGCTGGAGAACAGATTGAAAAATGTGTGTAATTGTATATGTGACTTATGCACACAATAATTGTACATGCACTTGAACAGTTAATTGCGTAACTGGTCATTTTGGCAAACAATTACCAAAGACATATATAGAATCACAATAAATGCATGCACAAATTGGACACTCAAGTACATTCATACAGAACACAGTTTAAAAAGCTAGTTCTGGAAGAAGGTCATTTCTTAAATCCTCACTGCCACTTCCCGCAACTCCTAGGATTTTCCTGTAGGTCTCCTACCCAAATACTAATCAGGCTTAGCCCTACTTAGCTTGTGAGATTTGATGGGCTCACAGCTTGAGGTAGGATGGTTGCTGGCCTAATCCCGTTCTTTTTGACCTCAGGAAGTGGTTGTATAGAGCATTGGGGTGGTGAGTTGAAGCTACTGCAAAGTCACAGGTTTGTTACCATGATTGGCACAGAAGTTGTGAGGTTTAACAAAATTCTCATCTTTTCTCTGTTCTTGCCCACATTGCTTGTTTCTTTAATGTGCAGGTAACAGAGTGTAACGGGATTCACTCACCACCGAGGTTGCCTCCTTGTGGCTGGGTCTGGGGATAAACTCTAGTCTGGTCTATTGCCCCCTTCTGCCACTTGCTCGCCCTGTGGTCCTTTTCACTCTCCAGCACTCAGGGTGCTCTCTCTTCATGACTCAGCCATCTGGCCAGATCACTATATAGTTTTTTCCCTTCTGGTGTATCAGTATCTCGCTGGACCAACTGTCCAGATGCCACCTTCACCAGTCCTGTGCCACTTCCCAGTGGCTGGTAGGGGAACTTGAGCCTGCCTGCTACTCTAGGTTTCAGCCCAAGGACCCTATAATCAGCAGCCAAGGTCTAAGCAGTCTCAACCCTCACTGCTCTTTCCCTGGGCTTCTTCCTACTCTGCCTTCCACAGGCTTTTTTGCCTACAACCCCTGTGGGTAAATCCCTTCCATCAGGGACAGGATGGGATCCCAGGGCTTTTTCTTCCCCATAGGTTTCCTCCTACCCACTTCTCTATGCCCAGAGAACAACTGAAAGACTCTCTCCCTGCAACCCCCTTCTTTGTCATAGGTTTTTTTTGTTTGTTTTTGGTTTTTTTGAGGCACAGCAGTGTCATCCCACAAGGCTATGACCGCCACTTTCTCCATTCATTTTAGCCATTTTTTTAATCCCTCCCTCCCCACCCAATCATTCCATTTCCGTTTAGGGAAATTTTTTTGATTCCAAGCCAGCTACATTTTTTTATGAAGAAACTTACTTTCTGTAGACTATTGCCCAGAATGCCATAGAACATGTTTCTTTGGTTTTGTGCATATTATTCAGCCCATCTTTGTCTTTTTAATCAGGTTAACTTACTATTTAACGCACAGTGACCTGCTAACACTCTCTAAAAATGACTACTTCACATTATGATAATTGTGGCATATAGTATTATCTCCAATTTTTTGAGTATGTCATAAAACCTTTGTCCCTTTGTTTCCTTGACCCATAGTTTTTGCCATTCCTTTGCAAGCTTATTCATGATCACACTTTTAAATTCTCCTCTACTTAAGGGTATCTTAATATCCACCTCCACATGGTATTTTTGTCAGCCATTTCATATCCTTTTGTCAGCCATCTGATTTCCAGGTATTCTGATGTGCATAAGAATCCATGCTATTGTTACACAGACACCTGCTTGCATTGTTTCCATAGTTAGAAACGTTATTTCACTTGTCATTTCTACTTTCCAAAGTCCCTGTTCTGATTGTCATAATGCCTGACAAGGAGTCAGATAAAATTGCAGCTGTAGCTGGTCACGCATCTCCTACCCAGCTCAGTGCCAACATTATGCCCATTAGTTTAGCTTTCAGAATGGTCCCATAATTTGATGGCATTTTAAATTTGTGGATTCCAAGACTAGGAGCACAGAAGGCTGTTTCCACTCTACCCATGCTGTCATCTTTTGATCTGTCTGCATAGATTTGGCAAAGCTGGCCTCATTTTTTCTAAATAAATTAAGAAATTTGATTAGTCCTAATGTGTGAATTTTTTTCTTCTCTTGGTTTGGTTTTTTACATACAATTCCAAATCCACAAATGGGGAATAACTGCAGCTGTAATTTGATTTCCCATGATTAAAAAATTCTAGTTCTCTCAATATTTCTTTTTTACATATCTCCTTTTCCCATTTTTACTCTGATTAGTATGAGGAAATGTGTGGCAATCCATATCATTTTGTCTACTTGGCTTCCGGCAATCCTCATACTTCTATTTTCATGATTCCCTTTTACCTTTGTGCAAAAGGTTAGATCTAATAGTTTCATCCTTGGATTGATAGGTCCCTCTTCAGTGGCTAGTTGCAGCACACATTACTGAGGTAAACACTGCACCACATGCCAGTCGCAGAGCTTGGGCCTGGAGCAGTTCCAGGTGTCTAAGAGTTGTTTTTGAGGCTGAACCAAAAGCTTGGCATCCATTGTCTAAAACTGGTCTTATCAATGCTTCACTATACATTATCAATACCTTCTTATCTGCACCCCATTTGTTTCCAGCTACGCCTTTTAAGTAAGTTCATCCTACTTGTACATTTTCGTATGGTGTTATCTATGTGACCTTTCCAAGTTAACATTTTATCAAGCACTATTCCTAGGAACAAAACTTTTGTTCTGAATTTTTTCACCATAAAGAAATAAGTCCCAGTCTTCCTTAATTTTCTTCCAGGTTAAAAACATTTCCTTAGTTTTTGCACGTGAGAATTTAAATCTCCAATAATTTCTGCACTTGGAAATTCTCTGGAGTGCCTCATTTTTCTTTTCCACAGCTATTTCAAGTCTTTTATGCTTAGTTCATATAGCACAGTCGTCTGTGAAAAGGGAAATACTTATTCCCATCTGCACACTTTCCAGGAGGTCACTTATCATAATGGAAAAAAAGAAGGGCTAACAATACTCCTTGTGGAGTTGCATTTGTAAGCTTGTAGGTTTTGGTTAAAGCTGTTCCCACTTTGACTTGTGTCGTTCTGTCCCTTAAAAAGTGCTTTATCCACCAACATGTCCTCTTTTGTTAATTCCAATTTTGGTTATTTTTATATAGGAGGCCTTCCCTTCATAGCATATCATATGCTTTTTCGATGTCCAGGAAGTCCTTAGTTCTTTCGATGTCCATAGAGTTCTTAGTCCTTATGCTTTTTTGTACATCCAGTTCTAGTCTCACTATATGATCAATTGTACATCTTCCTTTGCTGAAACCACTTTGTATCTCAGTTATAATACTTAGTTTATAAATATTTTCTCTAAGTATTCCACAAGCCTTAAATTTATAATTTTTTTTCCTTGATTTTTCCCACTCATGGTATGAGGGCAGTGGGCCCATAAGGATCAGGTTTTGTATGATCCTTGCCTGGTTTCTTAACTGGTATTACCAATGTTTGTTTCCATGCTATTGGCCCCAGTCCTTTTTCCCATATATCATTCTATAACCACAATAGAATCTTTAAACTCCCTTCTGACCAGTACTGGAGCATTTCATTATGTATATTATCTTTACCTGGAGCTGTAGTTTTCCTTTTTCTAATGGCTGCAATAAGCTCCTGCATTTTAAAATGTTTGTTTAGCACACCATTAGTATATTCTCTCCAGCCATTTAATTGGTCACCGTTTTTCTCAATACATCTTTTTCTTCTCACAAAACTCATTGCTTTAATTCATATCACTACTGACCTTTTGGAAGTCTTTTGCTAAAATGGCTGCCTTTCCTAAGTTGGAGACCTCAATATCATTGTTTCCAGTAAGATCAGGTATAGGTTTACTTTTACTTTGAATTCCATGCACTCAATTTGCTTATATATTTCTGAAAGCTGAGAATCTTTGTATCATTTCCTATAGAAATTTTTCCAATTTTTTGTCTTTTTGATAATCCTTTGCGCTACTACCTTACATCTTTTATAATTCATTAAGTCTTTACTGTTCATTGTGTGTTTTGCTTGCTTGTCTGCCTTATTTCTTTCCTTGATTGCTAATTTGCAATCTTCATTATACCAGGGAATGGGATTTCTGAGTTGTAGGCAATTTCATGTTTTGTAGATGGCCAGATTAGTTGCTGCTGTAATTCCTTTTATTATGTTATAGAATTCTCCCAAGTTGTCACTTGCACAGTTACTACATAAATATTCATCACATTTATATCTTAAAAAGGCCCCAGTTAGCTTTTTGAAAATTTCAGCTTGGAGCTCTGTGTTTTTCTACATTTCTTTGGCTTTGGTACTCAATCAGCATAGGGAAGTGATCACTTCCTATTCTGTCATCTTTATGAATTTCCCAGTTGCATTTACTATGTATTATTTGCTGTGGTTCCCAAATCCAAAACTGAAAAAGATCCATCCATTAAATTAAATTTAGTAGGTGTTCCTATATTCAATATTACCAGGTTATGCATATCAAATTGTTCTAAGCATTTACCATTTAGATCAATTTTCTTATCTCCGCATAGCTCAGTATGACTATCAAAGTCTCTGCAAATTATGACTGTTTGTTTGACTGTTTTTTCTAATTCTAAAATAGTTTATTTGGATTACAGTAGAAACTCAGAGTTATGGATACCTTGGGAATGGAGTTTGTTCGTAACTGAAATGTTTGCAACTCTGAACAAAGTGCCGTTCAGGCTCCAGATCCAGTAGCTGACACTCAAAGCCAGGACTCAGCAGCAGCTGAGCAACCTAGTCAGCCCTGGCATGAGTTTGCACCTTGTCCCATTGGGGGTTTG